ACCATCAACACGTGCAGAGAAAAACAGCCAGCAGGACACTGCAAAGTCCAATCCTTGTAACACTTTTCCAAGTGTTAAGCTTTGCAGTGTGCTACCGGCTGTTTTTCCCTGCAACAACCCTGCACAGATACTGGGAAGACGCCTTACTTCTTCTCTGTATCTGTACTAGAGGAGTATCTACAACAAATTGTGCCCCTGGTCTCCCATCCAGCTCCTGACAACCGGTGACATCACTGGTTACTAGGACCTGGGTGGGACGCCTTCTAGAGCGTCCCAGTTTGCTAAGAGCCGGTCAGGGAGATGTGTATGGCCCTTACACATCTCCCTGCCCGGCTCTTAACCTGCGACACCCATACCGGTGTCCTGCCCAACTCCTGACAAGCAGTGACGTCACAGGTTGCCAGGAGCTTGGCTAGACACCGGCATTAGTGTCCCAGGTTGTTAAGAGCTGGGTGGGTAGAGAAAAAAGTAAGCTGTCTCCGTTGGTCAGCAAACTTTTGCTGACACATTTATTTATTTTTTGAATTGTGTTTGTGTTCTTCCTGCGGGCTGCCCTACACAAGAGTGTTTTTTCCTTCTCTGTAGTCTACACGAGGGCCCTTCTGTTCTCTGCAGTCCAGTGTAACCTATACGACTGAGATTTATTTGAGACTTGTTATCAGGAGAAGTGAAGAGGGGGGTGCCGTGCAGCCTATTTGTATAGTCTGCTGCCTTTCCCCATTTATGTGCCACTGCCATTTTGTTGGGATCAGATGCCAAGATTGCACTCTATTTGCAGAACCACCTGCAGGTGAATCCTGGTAAACCCAAACAGATATTTAAGGTATTATAGCGGTCGCTATTGGGCTGACTTTTTTTTCTGCTTGGCTCCTTCATAGTTTGACATACCGAGTAGTGGTGGCAGGGCTACCCACTGCTTATGTTCTAGCTGATTCTCAGGAATTAGCCCAAACTCGGGCCGTGTATGGCCAGTGACAAGTGAATCATTAGAATTAACAAATTGCAAATCATTTTTGTCCTCTTTAAAAAAAAAAAAAAGTATTATTTGTTCAATCCTCAGAGAATCATACAATTCAGGGAGTGCGATTGACTGGATATCTGAATGAGGGTATTCTCTGCAGAACAAATAGATCTGCATGCAAACATTTAGGCAAATCCAAATTTTGAGACTTTTGGTTCTCTGATTGAACATCACCAATCTTGGCATACAGCTGAATGCACCTGTATTCCCACGGAGTGATTGATGAACATTAGTGTACCACATTGTAAGCACCTTCTTCTCTGCTGATTGGACACTAGTTCCGACTGCATTTTATACCCTCTGCTGTTTATTTTCCATGCACATTATTTTCGCCTGTTTAGCACTGCCAGCTGCTAATTAATTGTTGGTAGTAGCAACAGGACAAGAAATTTCTGGAACTGAAACCGGCCCTAGGGAAAACAGAGGAAGTCTATCTTTCATATATTATAAACATATTAATATGTTCTGTAAATTCTGCATTGCGAAAGGAAGCAGTAGTGTATTCTAAGCTTCTGCAATATCCAAAATTGTCTGTGGCAGCCGTTTATTTATATTATTCTAAGCATTTTTCTATAGTCTACAGTCTGGATTGTTGTTCTATATCACATGCAGATGGTAACATTGTACAACCCCAATTCCAAAAAAGTCGGGACGCTGTGTACAATCTACATAAAACAGAATGCAATGATTCAGGAATCTCATAAACACATATTTTATTCACAATAGAAAATATTCACAATATCAAATGTTTAAACTGAGAAAATTTACCATTTTAAGAAAAAAAATAAGGTAATTTTGAAATTGATGGCAGCAACACGTCTCAAAAAAAGTTGGGACAGGGCCATGTTTTCCATGGTGTAGCATCCCCTCTTCTTTTAACAACACTGTAAATGTCTGGGAACTGAGGAGACCAGTTGCTGGAGTTTAGTATAGGATTCTAACTGCTCTACAGTCCTGGGTCATCTGCGTCATATTTTTCATCTCAAGATGAGCCAAATATTTTCAATTGGTGAAAGGTCTGGACTGCAGGCAGGCCAGTTAAGCACCTGGACTCATCTACTGCGTAGCCATGCTGTTGTCATAGATGCAGTATGCGGTCCTGCTGAAATATAAAAGGCATTCCCTGAAAATGACGACATCGGGATGGGAGCATATGCTGGTCTAAAACATTGATATACCTTTCAGCTTTGAAGGTGCCTTTCCAGATGTACAAGCTGCCCACTCCATAGGCACTTGTGCACCCCCATACCATCAGAGATGCAGGCTTTTGAACTGAGAACTGACAAACCAGAAGGTCCCTCTCCTCTTTAGTCCGGAGGACGCAGCGCCCATGGTTGCCATAAAGAATGTAAAATTTTGATTCATCTGACCACAGAACAGTTTTTGCAACAGACTAAATTAAATGAGCTTTGTCCCAGAGAAGATGGCGGTGTTTCTGGATCATGTTCAGACATGGCTTCTTCTTTGCATGATAGAGCTTCAACTTGAATTTTTGCATGGCACAGTGATTTTTGGAAGTATTCCGGAGCCCATACAGTGATGTCAATTACAGAATCATAGGAAAAGCAGGAAATCACCAGCACTCAGTAATAAAGATAAATATGTCCCTTTTATTGGACAAAAAGCATCACAAACATCCAAAAAAAACCCGCCGTTTCGGGGCCGCGCAGTGTCCCTTCCTCAAGGCAGAAAGATGCGTCGGTTTTTTTTGGATGTCTGTGTCGCTTTTTGTCCAATAAAAGGGACATATTTATCTTTATTACTGAGTGCTGGTGATTTCTTGCTTTTCCTATGTTTGCACGGCGCCATCCGTGTTAATACATCACTGCTCGCACCACCTTTTCTTATCTGGCCGGGACTGCTGTGAGGAGTGCGGAGGTCCTCTCCATCGACTTACATTACAGAATCATGTCTGTTTTTATTGCAGTGCCGTCTAAGGGCCCATAGGTCACATTTTGGCCTTGTCCCTTGCACACATAAATTTCTCCACATTCTCTGAATCTTTTGATGATATGTACTTTAGATGATGATATATTTCAAGTGTTTTGCAATTTTACGTTGAGGAACTTTATTCTGAAATTGTTTGACAATTTGTAGGTGCAGCTTTTCAAAGATTGGTGAACCTCAGCCCATCTTTAATTCTGAAACACTGTCTGACTCTCTAAGATGCTCTTTTTATACCCAATCATGTTACTGACCTGTTGCCAATTAACCTACTTAGTTGCAAAATGTTCTCCCAGCTCTTCCTTCCTAGAACCAGTGACTTTGCCCTGTCCCAACTTTTTTTGAGACCTGTTGCTGCCATTCATTTCAAATGACCTTATTTGTTTCTTAAAATGGTACATTTTCTCAGTGTAAACTGGCTCCATAAAAGTGCCATGCAATGTTGTCGCAACTGGACTTCAGCTGCCAAATTTCTAAAGTTTGCTGCAGTAAATATCCTGTTTCATACCTCAAAACTTGCAGTCTTTTATAAGGTGTGACGCAATGTTTCTGAACCTCCGATAACAAATTGCTAATGTCCTGCATTGCATTTCGGAGTTTGCAGTCTATTCTGGTGCTATGGCATGCAAAAATATATGTGGCTATTGTCTCTCAGACCCTAATGCTTATGTTAAGATAAAACCTACATTGTCTTTCCCTTTTATATTTTGGTCTAACCAAGTTGCTTAAATACTGTCCAGCTATTGAACAATATATGTAGCTATTATCTCTCACATAATACACTCTAACTTTTGTTGCAAGATAAAGCCTGCCTTGCTATTGTATTACACAACTTGTACACTCTATTCAGGTCTCTGCACAGCAGCACTGTGTTCTGTGCTATGGTGGACTCTGGTGCTATCCAGTGTGCTGAAGAAAAGCGCAGCATGTAGGCATTTGTCTGCACATCACACAAGCCTTGTGGTGTGCACGGGGCACATAGAAAACAATTGTTCGCTGTGTAACCTTGTGGTGACTGGCAGTTATCCAATGCAAAAAAAATGAGAGTCAACGCAAGTGGTGTAAACGAGCCCTTGGTGTCAAGATTCGCCCCTCCCTTGACTTCAATAAGATTCGCTGCCAAATTCGGATTTGCCCATCCCTACTTCCTAAAGTTGACTCTGTAGAATGTCTTCTTTGGCAATGCTAAAATGTGCTCCCTTGTGGTGAATTAATGATAGGTCTTCCTTATGTTTATGAATAACTTTATATAGTGCCCAAAGTAATACAACAATGCACTACCCTAGGGCCATAGACACATGGGCTTGCAAAGCTTTCGGCAAGCTTTGAGTAACGTGTTTTGAAGCCTTTAAATCAACATACAGCTCCAGGATAGAATGTTAAACACTGATCATAATGAGTGCAGAGTGTCACTTTAAACATGGCTTCAGTAAGCTTTAACACCACTTGAAACTTGTTGAAAGCTTACTAAAGCCCGCTAGCAGCTTGTTCATAGTGACAGGCACCACTTCCATCAAGATTGACGTTTAACATCCCAACGGTGCTATATAGGTTTTAATAAATCTTCTTCTGAAAGCGTTAGAATGCTTTGTAAAAGCTTGCTGTACATACCACTCCTGTACAAGCTAAAATCCATGTGTACTAGGCCTAATACAATGTTCCTCAAGCATGTATTTATTATGTACTACTATCATTATGCTTCAATTGGTGGGGAAAGGAGTCATTTTAGGATACGTGTATAACAGACGTGTATTATGGCAGATGTGTGCATCTGCTGTTTGAATTTTGGTGAAGATCCTCATGTTGTGGATCCCCACCCTTTAAAAAAACCCTGTGCATATTGAAGACACCACTCTCTCCAAAGCAGAATCCTGGAATCATGACTTCTACTACTTCTGCTACTCAGGTCTCCCTTTTTATGATGGCCACATTTCACTCTTGAACTCCTATCTGCTGTTGTAGCTATTCATGTAGCTCATGGAGTCTCCTTCTATTTGTATACATAATGACCTATTTTTTTCTGTTTACCTTCTAGAAAACCAAACGTGACGTCAACAACTTCGACCAGGACTTCACACGAGAAGAGCCTGTTCTAACACTGGTGGATGAAGCCATAGTCAAACAAATCAATCAGGCTGAGTTTGAAGGCTTCTCTTATTTTGGAGAGGAACCTTTGGCCTGATTCGGTTGGTGCCGTGATCTGTGCCCTCATGCAGTAGTCCTATGGAGACAAAACACGTGACTGAGATTCAGTGGATCCTTACAAACTTGTTTTATGATGAGCCTGCTACTTGTGTAAAGATACTATTTATTGTTGCAGTTTTTGTTTTTTTAACTGAAGGCACTCTTATTTTCTGTCTTACAAGCAATGCAAAATTGTGTTTTGTTTCCGAAACTGTAGCTGTAACATTCTGCTTGGTCTGTGACCACAAAATACTAGACAATCTTAGGAAAAAAAATGTTGTTTTTTTTTCTTCTTTAATGTTGTACGTTAACTAATATTTACAAAAGGAAAACAGTGCAGTGTTGGCAGTTAGTTGCAAAAAAATTTAACGTATTTGATCATTCCCTTTTAAACCACTGAGAAAATAGATGATGGAAATCTGTACAAGTTTTCTGGGTTCTTTGTGTCACACGGGTCCGTAAAAAAGTATATTCAAAGACCTGTGAGATGTGGAGCAGGGCTGGATATATGAGCCACTGTAGGCCATTGCCTACAGGCAGCAGAATGGGTGGCTTTTCCCTGCACAGGGTTTTTTCTTAAATCAACAATGGAAATAATTTATATTCTAAGCTTATACAGAAAGGATCACAGTACTCTGCTGTGTGGTGAGGTCAGAAGGTTTAAAGTGTTCTGGGCAAGTCAGGGGAAAAATATTGACAGAGCATAGGGTGTCAACTGTTGTATGCTTTTATGCCTCAGTAAAGTAAATCTGGACACAATAGGGGGAAATATTTTCTGCCTTTAGGGTTACAGGTGCTTTTTTAAAATGTATAAATATTCTATCAAGAACGCACATACATGCTGTGGTAAGTTTTGTTTTGTTTTTTTAGCATTTATTATCTTTTAAAAATGTATTTAAAACCCAACCCAACTTACCTGCATATGAATTAATTTCTTTTGGAATAAATTGGCTTTTTAAATATATTTAAGGCATCAAAAATTAAAGGACCAATAAACCTAAAATCTAAGTTGGCTTACATAATTTAAATGATTTTACAGTGCAATCTAAAAAAATACTAGTAGCTAAATATAAGTGATGAGAAAAGATATGAAGGTTGCTATTTCCAGGGCACAAATTAAATCCTGTGCATTAATCCCAGGGCTTGTTCACAGCAGCGTTATACCGCAGCCGCTGGTGTGTGCTGTGAAGGAATCGGTGTCAATGCGTTGTAATGACGCATTGCACTGTTTACTTTTTTAACTTTATTGAAATGTCACAAAATTACAGTTCATTCATCTTTATGCACAACTTCATAAAAATGTCACAAAATGACATTTTATTCAGCTTTATGCACAGCAGCACGTTGTGATGCAGCGTAGTGCATCTCAACACGTTGCATTGGAAAAAAAAGTAGAGCATGTCTTCTTTTTTTCAGCATAAATCTGAACTCATTGAACTCAAGGGATATTGCCTTGGGGTATGAAAACATGCCTACATTTTCCAAATGTTATTAAAGTTGACCTAATCTCAAACTTTAAGTTTACTTCAGGTTCCTGAAGTGTAAAAACACATTGGATACAGCGAGACCATGACAGTTCTGTTTCAGTTATGTTATGGCAGTCAAGCAGATGGAAACTGTGCTGACATCAACATGACCTAACAGTGTCTTTAATTCCGCTTAATAGTTTAGGATAAGGTCCCTTTAGCAGGTTCGGTTTGTGAAAAGATTCGTTCTTTGTGCCCCTTTGTGTGAACGTACTGTTCAGGGCAGCATCTGTCTGTATTAAATTTATAATTTTGCAATTCCCATCTTGCTCTCCTCATTTCTAGATGGAATTGACCCTGCCGGGTGCTGACAAAGCTGCATTTCCGAAAAGTAAAATACCATGCAGCCTCACAACAGCCATAACAACATTTTACACAGCCTGCACAGACTTTGAACTAAGCCATTGTTTTTAGGAACATTTATTTAAGGGCTAAAAATATTACCTGTTTATGTGATGTTAAATACATTTACCTTTTATAACCAATCCATAATAACATTTTTCTTGTTATGTGAAGGCAGCTAATTTGTAGTCTAGTACCCTCTCCTATTATTGGTGTATGTGCCCACCCCCATCATTCCAACTGAGCACAGCTTTTAATTGAATGTCTCCATTGCATTGTTTGCAGCTCACATCTTGGGCATGATGCGGAGGAAGAGGAGAGGCCATGCTCAGGAACGTTTTCTTGTGCCTGTTAATTCTTTGCCCTTTTGAAGTTATGGCTGCCATTGGTATCTGACACTTCCAGCTGTGCTAGATGCGCTTTGTTCCAGAGAACACAGTAGCAATGTAACAGCCAGCGGATGAAACCCACAGCGTGCAGCAGGGGATGTGGCATCAGAGTCACCCAGAGGTGTCGGATACCAGCAGTGACTTTAGCTTTGCAAGAAAGCAAGGATTGGAGCCAAAACCTTTTACAGGCAGACTCTACATTTTTGGACAAGGTCACCCTAAGTCATTTTTATGTAAGCCAACTTTGGTTTTATGGCAGTTTAATTGGCTTTGTTTCTGTTGATATGATTAAAAAAACCTGTAAACTTTGCAGTCCTTAGTCACCGTTATTAGGTAGTATTTCCTGAAAGGTCCAGAATGGTCCTGGGGTGTCTAGTCTCTGCTTTCTTAATATGGCACTCATAAGGTTCAAAGTATAGGAGGTTATGCAGTGCAACAGGTGGGCAACCAATGACTCGACGACTCCTGTGAACCTGCAGTGCCAAGTACCCTGGCATAACAATTTAAAATTCTGCCATACTGGAGGGATCTGAGCCTGGCTTCTGTACATTTCCTGCAGAGGGTACCTAAACTACCACAACATCAGTATTGCATAGTCAATATAAATTCTGGTATAGGTTCTGGGGCCTCCACATCCCACGACCATACAAGCATTTACTGCACTTGTGTTGCTTTTGCACACTTGTATGACATTTTAGCACTACTGTGGGTTTTTTTTTTTCTTGGATGAGTCTAATATCACAATGTGATATGCAGAAAAAGTTGAACTATTTCACACTTAAGTTGAAGTGTGCGAATGATCAAATGTTGAAAACTGACATTCTGTACATTATTTCATCTTTTTGTGCGTGTGCGTGTGTGTAAGAATTTGAATTTTGGTAACCATGGCAACGTGTACAGCCAGTGCTAACGTTACCTTGTTTGTATGTAGATGTTGCTAATAGTGTTGGAGTATGTTTTTATTTGCAGAAGTACCCTGTGTATTTTGTGTGTAAATGTATTATTGTAATATTTCCAATGTATTTTACTGGACTGAATTATAAGCAGTTATCGGGGGTTCAATTTAACTGACAGGCGCGGATCCTCTGCTTCTTGAAAAAAAAAAGAAACCGAAAACAAAAATACTTGTGAGTGGCAAAGTGGCACTAAGGAAGCTTTTTGGTTTTTTTGCCTTTTTGTACAGGTGAGATTTTGTAAATAGCGTTTGCTGTAAGGCCTGTGGAGTCTTATTCATTATAGAGGTATCAACTGCTGCATGTCATGGAAAATTATAAAAATGCTAGTCCAAAAAAAAAAAACTATAAGGTCAATGTGCAATACTCTGTATGTGTATTGGTTCAAGTTTCTGTGAGAGATTATTTTTTTTATTAATGTTATTATTATTATTATTATTGAACTGTTTTAAAAGATGTAAACATATTATGTTATACACTAGATCTATTGTATAGTACTTCTGAGCTTTGTAAACTGAAAGAATAGGAAGGTATTCTGGATTGAATCAACAGTGCTAGCACAAAACATTTTTTTTTCTTTTGTCTCCTTGCGTTAAAGGGCAGCTCTATCTTTTTCACAAATTTGGTATTCAGTTTTCTAAATGCAATGTATTGCTATAAGCCCTGTTGAACATTTCGTTATAGGGCCCATTAACACCGGATCTGTTGCGTTGCAATGCGTTTTTCAATGGCTACTAAACAAAGCCACCGAAAAATGAATAGGTGTGAATGGGGCTAATTCACACCGCTCCGTTACGTTGCGCTGAAAAAAAGTAAAACATGAACTACTTTTTTCGGGGCAATGGATCCAGTGTGAACTAACCCCATTCATTTTTTGGTGCCCTTCCGTTTTTCAACGGAACGCAATGGATCGGAAGGTACAAGTCAACAGACCCTCCATTGTCTTGTGATTTCCTTCCAATTTTGGTGTGAATGGGCCCTTAATCAGCTAATGCATTCCAGGTGCATCAAACCAAAAGGTGTGCAAAGTCTTACTGATCTTTAGAATGCAGCCATGAACTGAGTAGACAAAAGCTGTCCCCTGCCAGCATTCTCCTGAGAAGGACCTTTGCCCCCTGTGTGGAAGCAGTGATATCTCTGCAGAGGTCCAACATGCCTTCTACTGAGACAAAACTATAGATCTGCAAACAGCAAAGCCCATGCTCCCTGCTGACTGTACAGCTCTAGCTCTGACTCAGCAGGGTGTGTGTCAGACCACTGCTTCTACATGGAGAGCAAGGTCCTTCTCTGCAGTATGCTGGGGACAAGCTTTTTTACTGAGGCTGTGGTTGATTTCAAAAGACTGTAAGACTTTGAACATCTTTTATTTTGATATACCTGGCGCATATTTCGCTGATTCAAACTGCAAGATACCCTGGATTTTAATTTTATTTGTGGGCTGGTTGTTGTTTGGGAATTGTAGACCCAAATTGTCTTCAAATATTTGTAGCTGAATATGGAATTCCAATACGGGCTTACCATTCAATGCGTATGCAATTTCACCATGAAGGTAAACAAAACATTAACATTTATCACCGGGCACTGTGTAAACGTCCTGATCTTGTACTGGCATAAGGAACCTGGTGATGTAATACAAACATACAATTTGCAAGCTCAATTAGCAGCTAGCTAAATACTTGACAAACAGACTAATTTGTTGCCACAACGTATTAAGTTTAAAATTGTCAGGAAGGTGGAGTTGGGCTGTATTAAGTCTAAGCTATTTATGCTACTACCTATGTTTTTGTGTTTTATCTGTAGGCCATTTGTTACTACTTCCCTGCTGCTAAGGTTGATCTTGGTTGAAGCCAGGATTTACAAGCTGCCCTCCTTATGTCTTTACAACCCTTTAGTTTAATAGGAAGGGGGAAAATTCGATTTGTTTCAATTCTGTACTGTCTGACTCTGGTAGAATTTTAGGGGTTGCAACAGAGTTGGCCATACCGAAGGGCAGAGCTGCAATGCCTCTTTCATGCCAATGGAAGGCATCTGGGGTCTTCCCATATTGATCTTGTGGAACAGGGGTAGCCCTCCAGCTGTGGTGAAACTTCAAATTCCATCATGCATTTGTCTCTGGGAGTCATGCTTGTGGCTGTCAGTCTTGCAATGCCTAATCGGAATGGTGGCTCCACAGCAACTGGAGGGCCAGAGTTTGCCTACCCTTTTTGTAAAGCTTCCAGCAGCCGTAATGTG